ATGTAAAAACTATGCAAAACAGAAAAAAATCTTTGAAAAAAATAGTAGTCGCTAGTATATAATATCAGAACTGTTTATACTGCGTAATAAAAGAACAGAAAGTACATGTAGACTATTACTTTTATCTAATCGTCCATTGTTTGTTCTATAATGAATTTGGAATTTATATCCTTTAATTTAACTATCAGAATAATTGAAACAATCTAGTAAACGCTTTATAAGTGCCGGATGCTTGCTTTCAGGATAGGATTTGGATATAAATTATACGTAAATACACCACCAATTTGCATAGAAACCATTTGGAGTCATTATTATGTTGTGGCTTTATGGCATGCACTTTGAAACGAGGCAAGTTATTCGTCAACGATACTACAAGCCTGATTTATTTGTGATTGTTCCCAAGATCAGAGATTTATTTTCTAGAGAATGCTAATCAAAGGTGTACCTAACGATATTAGCTCCTTTTATACCGACTTTTCATCTACGCTGAAATAGCCATTGATTTAGTTGCTGAGACTGGATGATTTTTATAACCACATGACTTCTACCTCTAAGAAAGCTTGCATTATTTCAAATAAAATTTTGCTTCCATATTCAACTACATGGCTGAAAGTAAAGTGGTTATTTTAGCATCATTAACATTTTAGCACGCGTGTATAGCTTTGTTTTTTAGGGGTGCAAATAAAAGGCACTTTTTGAAAGAAATTTCTTGGCAGCCGGGTGGTTGGAATTGAAGCGCTTCTAGTTTTTCAAATTACCCAGCTGCCTTTACAGTATTATTGTGCATCAAAAAGTAATTTGCCTAATATATAACGATATAAACAAACATACGTTGAAAAAAATTTGCACGTTGAAAACAAGTTATTTCCCTATAATGGTAAGACAACTATATAAATTATTGTGTTAGTATTTCCTCTTATCTAAATGCATTTGAATATATGTATAAAATTATACCAATGTAAAGGGCGTGACGCGCCATAAAGGTTTTTTTTTAATTGCAACAATCGTTCTCAAGCGTAAGGTCGTACCAGTAATCAACCGCTACAAATAAATTTTGTATTCCTAATAAGGGTAACAAGCATTTTATTAAGACTGCTGAAGAGATTACCGATATGTGTCTGTTTGGTTAGGTAGAAAGGTTCTAAATACCAAGATATAACATTTGTTGAACTTATATAATTTGTACATAATTTACCATCTTTCAATTTGTCCTTACAAAGATCGTCTCGTGCAGATTATTAAAAAGCTAGCTGAGATCTGATTTGAGATGAAAGTGAACAAATTAAATTAAATTTGAGAATTACCATGCTGGTCGATTACATATTTCGCAATAAAATGTAATAACCGTGGCATTGTCTTTTGGGGCAAATTTGAGTACATTATTGAATTAAACACGTGTTATTATGTAAAAATTCAATCCAGTGTACCTCTGCTTACCTTTTCTAGCACAAGAGCCAAATTTTTTTTTAAATGAAAATCATACCTTTTTGACGGCTAACGCACTCTAAGCCATAAAAATTAAAACCCAGTAGCTAATACAAGCGATTTAATGGACGGTTTCAGCATACGGCTGCCAATTACCGCTGCTATTAAATTATTTTAAAGTTTGAATATTTCGTTATCTTAGAAACGTAACGCCAATATCGTGACTGCTTAAAGGCAATTATGTATCTATTACTAAAATTATGCGGGTACATCTTATGTAATCAAAGCAGTAATTATCAGATCAGTTTCAGAAAATGATAACTTAGGGTATACGAAAAGCGTTTTTATCTGATATTCACTTTGTAGCTAAAGGTTAACAGTGCAATTCCGTTTTTTTTTAATTCTTGGCGAATTCCGGCATCCAAGACATGCCTTTAATGTCTGCACTACAAGAATCAGTACCCATATTGTGGTAAATATTGGACAATTTTGAAGCACGTTAAGATCACATCGCTTTTTAAATTATTTTCAATCACTGTCGCATACATTTCACGGGCAACATGCAAAATTCCATTGTTACTACCATTCTACGTGTATTTCTGCCCAGCATCTTCAATCAATTAATACAGCTCGCACATAAGGTGCATGGAATTTCAGTAGATGCTCGTGCGTGATCTTAATATGACCAATCCATAGTCTGTGTGTTTTTTACCATACCTAGTCTGGATACGTTTTTTATGCGGAACATTCCTTTTAGGTACTTGTCGTTTTACTGTATTTTCGCCGTTTGCCATTTGTGTTGCCATATATCTAACATCTTTTCTTTAGATAGGTTAATCTTAATGTTAATACGTTTATCCACCATGTCAACGCCTACCTACTTATGACTGTTAGGCAGCTTCTCATGCCGTTATGCCTACAAGATCGTTTCCAGGACAATAGGCCTTACATAATATTAAGGGGGATGAAGACCCACTTTGAATTTTTTCCGACCTCCAGTTTTTACTTCGGATCTGAATTTTTTTCGAGTGAAATGATTAGTTAATGCCCGGCTAACAATTAATGAAATGAGGATACGGTAACAACGATAATCAAGGAACGACTCCGTTCCTTTTTTGCTGAAAACATATTATATTCCTTTGAATTTGGTTACTTCTTTCCTCGTTAATAAACAATAACGATGTCAACGTGATATTGACACAAATATATTTATTTATAAAACAAACCTCAATCCACAGTTCACGTCTTGTACAAATTTTTATCTATTACTGAATTTTTGACAATCAACTCTTAAATCAATAACTCACATAGAGAATTTTATTGACTGAAATAAGCAAATTTTTAATGTAAATTATATTTAGAAAAAGTATATCCGTGTCAATAGGTTCAAGTAAATACACTTGAAGTCGATTTCGCACACTTGATGGATGTTACAGTTTGACATATGTCTGCGTATGTCTGAAATTGATTCACAAATTAATGAAAGAGAGTCACAGACTCCTGATTTCAAGTGTGCACGCAAGTAGAACACCGGCACACAGCGCCATCACGAGGTCGATACCTTAAAATGACCCCCTTTCAAAAATCCTTCGAGGTTGCAACACTGATGACATCTGGCCTGCTGTCCCCTGTCCTATCTCGAGACGGGCCTCTTTTTGGTCCCATCAAAACCGAGGGAATATATTGGGAACACGAACTTATAAATTAAGATGGACTGCTGATCAAACAGTTGCATAGAGGCTCTAGCATGGGCGTGGCACCGCGGCACGTTTTAGTTATTTTCTAGGGGAATTTTCCTAGTGCTCAAGTTTTAAGACTATTGCAGCCTTGAAAAATGACATGTGTCACAGTAATTTATTTGGAAAACCTGAGGATAATAGCCGCTTTCCTTTCAACTGATCAGAGCTGATCGAGTAACTCTGAAGAGCTCCGGTGTGTTCCATTACCACAGATCATTTTGATCTGGTTCATGTTTCCCTCTTCCCCTCATGCACGACCTTTTTCGCGGGAGCATTAGAGTAGATCAGTAAACATAACCTTAGTTCTTTATTTACATCTTTGCTTAAAATATTTTGCTTGGGTAATATCACGAAACAATAATGGAATTAATCCTAGAGGAAGACGACGTACAATATAAATTATGTGTATCAGAAACTGATTACAATCGTGCAATGACAGGTTTATATAACTATTTCTATGTAATCAAATTTTGCTAATTACTATATTTTATAGATCATGCATTTGCACAAAGTCTATTATTTCACGCAAAAGTTACCGGTAGTTCTATTAGTACAGTTGCCTCAAATCAAAGTCGTGTAGAGAACTTGGAACCGGCATCGGACAATTTGGAACAGTACTTGGAAAACGACCGTCACAGCTGGTCGCATGACGAGACGTTGTGTCTTATTAAGTCAATGGAAGTGCACATTGAGGATGAAAACCATCCTAAAAAAAGGAAATTCATTTTCGAAAATGTTGCAAATGATCTGATAAGCAATGGCTTTCAGGTGAACGCTACCGTGTGCCACAATAAGTGGAAAAACTTAATGCGATCTTATAAAACTGCAAAAGATAACATGCTAAAAACCGGAAGAGGACCAACTAGATTTTTATTTTTTTCTGAAATGGATGGGGTTCTAGGTGAAAAACCATCGAGCAGTGCGACACATACATTAGAATCTAATAACTTACAAAATTTACCCGACACATTGCCACCTCCCGAGATGTCTGCAATGTCCTCTCCGTCATCATCACGGTCATCAACACCCACACTGACACGAAGTAAAGAAAAAAAAGGAAGCATTCTACAAATAAAAAAAGAGGAATTTAGGAGAAAACATGAAAGACATAAGGAAAAAATGAGACTTCTTGAGATAAGGAACAAAGTTGAGGAACAGAAAGTGAATCTCTTACAAGAAATTTTAAATAAGTTAAACTCATAAATAGTTGTAATTATGTTGTTTCAATATGAATAGTAATTTCGTTTTTTAAATTATGTAATATTACATTGGGAATATGTTATATGTTACTATAAATATTTGTTTATTTCATGAAATAAAAAATAAAACATATAATCTGATTACGAAAACATTTCTTCAAATATTTGTTCTCTCCGATGCCTGGTTACGTTTTTTACATCTGACTGCAATGGTATTTCACTATTAACATCACTACTTATGTCATAAGGTTCTATTACTGTATTATCATGTTTGCTTTCACAAATATTGTGAAGCACACAACAAGCCATCATAATTTTCACACAGATATTGATATTTAAGTTCTCTAAATGTTGTAGCCTGCGGAACCTCCCCTTCAAAAGTCCAAACACATGTTCAACAATAATGCGTGTCGATGAATGTTTAAAATTAAACACTTTTTGATTGTTACTTAGGGCACCGTTGTCCTTAAATGGAGGTACTAACCAACTCAGAGATGGATATGCTGAATCACCCAGTAAGTATTTATTGCCAAAGAAATTAACATTATTTTAGGCTTTAGAATACAGTGAGGACCTCCTTAACAACCGAGCATCATGCAGAGATCCCGGCTCTCCACGATACACGTCAATAAATTGCCTGAAGCTATTGACAGTTCCTTGTATTAGCAAACTAAAGTATCCTTTTCTATTGATGTATGAGTCTTGATCATTTTTTGGCCTCCGAATTCTCACATGACATCCATCAATTGCTCCAATTACATTTTGACTGCCAAATTTGGTGGCGAAAGCTTTAGATATAACTTCTGTTTCCTCCTGCGTTGGCCACTTAATGTACTCAGTACGTAGAGACAGTATACAATTTAATACCCTTTCAATTACACGGTGAGCAGAGCTCAGTGACACATCAAAACGATCAGAAACCTGCCTAAATGATTCCGTGTTTCCAAGGTACCATAATGTCATAAGCATGGCCTTTTCACTTGATATTTTCATTTTTCCGTGTTCATGAACAGGGATGAAACCACTGTTTTCCAGTCTACTAGCTAACTGGTACACTATTAATTTGTGCATTCGAAAATGCGATTTAAATGTTGTTTCACTATAATTTACAACTACTCTTTCAATATATCCTTCAATTCGTACAATTCTAGCATATTCCTCAACCTCAGAATCAGTACTACTTTCACTACTGCTCCCACTAGTTTCTGGACCTTCCAATAGATTAATAATGACTGGTAATAAATCCATAATTAACTACAAAACCAATTTTTAGGTTAGGTGTTTTTTGGTAAACAAAATGAGTGTTCCATTCAACTTCAGAATAGAGTAGTTGGGAGTGGTTCACTTAAAATCTTAGATCATTTGAAAGGAAAGCGGCTAATGTTGGGTTGTTACGGTACACGCTGTATATTATGTATAGATCGGGTTTTCCGTAAGTTATCTCTCCGTTCCCACTTACAAATTTTCGGCGCTCACATACACCGCGCCAAAATTGGGCTTTTCCTCTTTCGTTGTCAACCAGCGGCACGAGTGCTATTGCTCGCTCGATCATACATTTTTCAATCTATAAAGACGTAAGTGTACTTGTCATTATATTTGTGATTTTGTTCTGTATTATTTACTGTATGCTACTTGTGAATTGTTAGTCTGACTATTCTGTAAGCGCCATAAGGGTAATCGCTATTTAATTTTAACTGTTGCTTATATGGTGAAATTATAACACGCTTTCCATGGTCTGCGATAACAAAAGATCTGTAGCGTATCTACAGATCTATCATTTTCCCTTTATCTTGACCAGGGAGCGTTATATGCATGAAGTCTTGTTTAATACTAATAGGCGTATCCCTAGGTGAGCCTTCACAAGGTTTTTCCTTTTGTGTTATTGCTGCATTTGGAATTCCAATTACGTCTCCGAGGCCAATAATCTTCGACGCCAAGGGTAGTAACCAGTGGTGGACACAATAACACCCCGTTCCCGCGATGGCCACGCGAGGAAGAGCGGCCACCCCTTAGTGACCACCGTCGTCGCGCATGATGGTCACCTTCTAAGTTCTAATAAAGCACGCCAAAGACATCACGACACCCAGCTTAACATCATACAGTCGTATTGGCCGGATTACGTAATTATATAGACACCTAGAATCATAGTTAACAAAAAGTAGCTCACTTGTACGCCTTAGTTGTTTATTATTGTTAATCTTATAATTAAATATTATTAAATTTAACTACATGTTATGGCCAGTGAGTAACATTGCTCGTCGTTGATCCACGGCATTTGGCCGACCCCTTTTTTTTATTTTCTTTAAAGCGAGGCCACTGGGCACTCGCTACAAATGGTAGCAGAGCGTAACGTAAATTTTATTGTTGTAATCTTTATCAAAATTGTTGGTGTATTGTGAGCTACGATTATTTTTATGTGTTGTTTATGCAATAACCTTGTGATAATTTATCGATTTTATTTGTCGCGCTTGTACCGATCGATCATATTTATGCAGCATGTGCGGTTGATAGTCAATTAGATATTTTACTCGTATAGGTATTTTCCGCGTTTTAAGGTTTCTTTCATACTGACAGTTATTATTTTACATAACTTCTTTGATGCCACCTCCTATTACGCGTAGCACCGCAAAAGGTGTCACCTCAGTTTCGAAATTTTCCACACCTGCGGTAGCCAACCCTAAACAACTGTTACAATTCCCAAAAGGTAGTCGGGTTGCTAGCATGACTGAGCAGGAACTCCTAACTGCCTTTCAACGCCTTAAAGAGGTTCCAGATGAGTCTCCGCAGGCAAGTACTGCCAGTACTGTCAATTCTTCGGTACATTCGCAACGTGTACTCACCGCCCCTACTTTGAAAACGAAATCTAAGAAATTACTATCTCCTAAACCTAAACCAACTTTGCCTAATTCATCATTAATTGTAAATTCACTTGCACAAGATATTCAAACTACCAATCAAAACTGCTCCGAAATTTTGAAAGTCGCAATTGAGGCAGCAGACAATATCACCTCGTACCATAAGATTAAGTTCAAAGTTGACTCGAATAAATTAATATCGAATGTTCCTACATGTAGCCATAACAATCCCCAGGCTATTGTGCTTTTTATCGAGGCAGTAGACAAGATTTTCAAGCTCCCAAACGTCGATAGTTTAAGTCTTCTGATCGCGTTATCGATTAAAGTGGACGATCACATTACAGAATGGTGGTCTACTATGATGAGTAAACCGTGGACTGAGGTGAGGGGAGCTCTTTTCTCTAAATACATAAATAATTCAGATATAATCCTAATGTGCGATAAATTTATTAACCGTTTGCAAAGGGAGGACGAGTCATTTGAATCCTTCGTTTTGGATATTAAGTCAAAATTTTGTGCATTAAACCTTACGTATCCCGAATCGCACCTAATTTCAATAATTTGGGCACATTGTAGCAAAAAAACCTTTGATGTAATCAAACATTTTTACGAACCTTCCACGTTTAGTGAATTGGATACAATAATTTACAAAATTGAATCAATCGCCAGGAGAGAGGAAAATTTTAAGCACCCTAATTCTTTTGATATCGTACCCACCATTAGTCCTCCTGTAAACTTTCAATCTCGACCACCGCCGCCGGAGCAAAAGCGTGCACAATTTTGTAGATACTGTCGGAATTACGGTCATTTATTAAATGAATGTCGCAAACTCAGTAATAAAAATGATAGCTATCCAAAAAACTAGTTTGCCTTTTTAGCCTCAGACATGGTAATATTTTACCTAATTGTATGCCTTTAGTTTTGGTAGAAATAAATAATATTAGGGTGTTAGCATTGCTCGATACAGGAGCCAGTTATAATTTTATTTCAGCTAAATTTGTTTCTAAATTAAATAAGATCGGTACAGTAAAGTACACTCCGTGTTCATCAGTAGTCATGTTGCCCGATTCCTCAATGGTTAGGGTCCGCAAACAGGTTAAAGTGTTTGTGAGAATAGCAAGCCTTTCATGGCCTATATCTTTTTATGAATTTTCGAGTTTAAATTTTGATGTGATATTGGGGATCCCATCATTAAATAAAATGAAAGTTATTCTTAATTTTGAAAGTAAAAACATTTCTTTTGAATTCAATCGTGATATCAAAATTCCATTTAGTTCCTCACCCAATTTGCGAAAAGGAATTTTATCTTCCATTTGCGAAGTCAAATATAACCTTAATCAAGTACAAAATCAGCAGATCGCCTCCCTGATAACCCAATATTCCGACGTTTTAACAAAGGAAGTGGGTATCGTTAGAAATTTCGAATACGAAATTAAAGTTTCCTCAAGTAAACCAATTTATAAAACTCCCTTTTACTTAAATCCGGTCAAACAGAAAGAATTGGACGATCACCTTCAGCATCTTTTGGAAAAGGGAATTATTCGCCGAAGTACATCCCCGTACGCCAGTCCAGTTTTTTTCGTACCAAAAAAGGATTCAGGGAAACGGCTTGTAGTTGACTATAGAGCTATTAACAAAATTATCGAGTACGACCCATTTCCCCCCGCCAATCAGCAAGCAATTTTTGCGTATCTTCAAGGTGCAAAAATTTTCACCCTATTTGATATGAACGCCGCATTTCACCAAATACAACTAGCGGAAGACTCGAAAAAATACACCGCCTTTGTCACTCCTACCTCGCACTACGAGTATAATTATTTACCTTTCGGCCTCAAAATTAGTCCTACGGGCCTAAACCGTCTAATCGCTAGGGAATTTGCCGATATACGTTTTAAATTTCTTATAAATTATTTTGACGATTTCATAGTGTTTTCGAAAAGCCCTTCCGAGCATATCACACATTTACAAATAGTTTTAGAACGTTTTCGCATGTGCGGTATAACATTAAATCCTGAAAAGGCTCGTTTCGCCATGTCAAAGTTGCGAATTTTAGGTCACGTAGTCTCATCAGGTTGTGTACAGCTGGATCCTCAACGTATCGAAGCTGTCCAAAATCTTCCAATTCCAAAAAGTGTTAAGCAAGTTCAACAATTTATTGGCATAGTGTCATTTTGCTCTAAATTTATTGATAAATTTTCTGAGATACTCGCGCCATTAAATGAATTAAAAAGAAAGGATAGTAAATTCAAAATAACGGATAAACACATTTTAGCCATTGATAATCTTAAGAAAGCAATTTGCGAAGCCCCAGTATTACGACTGCCGGATTTTTCCATCCCCTTTATAGTCCGAACGGACGCAAGTAACATAGGCATATCGGGTGTGTTATTACAAAAACAAGAAGACGGAATTCATCCTATAGCCTTTGTGTCCAAAAAGTTATCCGATACAGAGAAAAAATACTCGACGTATGAAAAGGAATCTTTGGCTGTTATGTTCGCGCTTGATAAATTTAAGGATTACGTTACCGACTCACTCTTTACATTACAGGTTGATTGCGACGCTATACGTTGGCTCGTGAACCACCCTTCACAGCTTTCCAAATTTGGTCGTTGGATCCTAAAACTTTCCAAATTCAATTTCACTATTGAACATATTCCAGGCTCACAAAATAATGTGGCAGACGGATTATCTCGACTGTTTGATGATTGTCAGGAACCCTCACCTTCAGCAGACACCCAACACTCTATAACTTTTTTGAATTCGATTCTTGAATTACCCGAGTCATTCGTGTCTATTAATAAACACCAGCAGTCCGATGAATTTTGCGAACTCATCCGCAACCGCCTCCAGAGCGGGCAAGATGTTAATAACTTCGCAATTGAAAACGGCCTGTTAATACGTTACGTGGGAAGAAATCGTCTTAAAAGGGTAGTCATTCCCGAAAAACTCTACAATTTAATTATTTACTATTTTCATGATTCTAAATTTGGTAATCATAACTCAGTTACGAAAACCTACAGATCGATTGCTAAAAGGTTTTGGTGGAACGCCATGTACAAACAAATTAGGAATTACGTTTCGAGTTGTCACCTTTGCCAGACATGCAAGCCCCTTAATACCCAGGTCAATGTTCATTTAGCCAGTTCCTCGCCGACTGTTACGTGGGACAAAATATACGTGGATTATGTAGGTCCCATAATAACTTCTGAGCAGGGTTATCGTTTCATGCTCGTTTGCGTTGATAGTTTTTCTAAATGGCTTAAGGTATACCCCACTCGTAAGGCTACTGCAAAGGTAACGTGTAAATATTTGACTGAACTATTTTCAACTTACGGCCCCCCTAAAACCCTTGTTTCCGATAATGCAAAATGTTTCACCAGTAACTTACTATTTCAGTTTTGCATGCAATGGGGCGTACGTCAAGCTTTCTCGTCACCTTATCATCCAGCATCAAATATGAGTGAGCGTTGCAATAGGAATTTAAAATACAATTTAACCCTCTTAATTAAGCAATATGCCTTGGAGCACAAATCATGGGATCAGGTATTACCATTTTTTATCTTAAACTATAATAGTACCCACCACGAGGCAATAGGTACCTCCCCTGCGAACATTTTTCTAAATAGGGATATAGCAACCCCTCTGGATAACATCTGGAACCTCGAATCCTTTCTAGCCCGCGCCGATCCTCCTAATCTCCAAGAAATCCACAATCATCTTAAGGTAGCCCACGAGAAGGCGAAGAAATATTATAATCGAGGCAAATTACCTGTTACCAAGTTTAAAATCAATCAAAAGGTCCTTGTAAAACATTTTCCTACCTCTGTGCCAAGGGTTTCGGATCAAAAATTCACTGCTATATGGTCAGGTCCTAAAATTATTAGAGGATTTACCTCCCCAGTGTCAGTGGTATTGGAAGATATCGAAACGAACGAAATTACTAGGTCGCACATTCAATTTTTACGTCCGTATAAAGAAAGAAACTCTTAAATGCCTTATTATATTTGTATATTGTATAATTTATTGTTATTGGTTACCGGGTTTGTTTTTTTTTTTTCCTTCTACCGACGCTTCGCTTTTGTCGGCAAGGGGGAGTGTTACGGTACACGCTGTATATTATGTATAGATCGGGTTTTCCGTAAGTTATCTCTCCGTTCCCACTTACAAATTTTCGGCGCTCACATACACCGCACCAAAATTGGGCTTTTCCTCTTTCGTTGTCAACCAGCGGCACGAGTGCTATTGCTCGCTCGATCATACATTTTTCAATCTATAAAGACGTAAGTGTACTTGTCATTATATTTGTGATTTTGTTCTGTATTATTTACTGTATGCTACTTGTGAATTGTTAGTCTGACTATTCTGTAAGCGCCATAAGGGTAATCGCTATTTAATTTTAACTGTTGCTTATATGGTGAAATCATAACACGCTTTCCATGGTCTGCGATAACAAAAGATCTGTAGCGTATCTACAGATCTATCATTTTCCCTTTATCTTGACCAGGGAGCGTTATATGCATGAAGTCTTGTTTAATACTAATATTAGGCGTATCCCTAGGTGAGCCTTCACAAGGTTTTTCCTTTTGTGTTATTGCTGCATTTGGAATTCCAATTACGTCTCCGAGGCCAATAATCTTCGACGCCAAGGGTAGTAACCAGTGGTGGACACAATAACACCCCGTTCCCGCGATGGCCACGCGAGGAAGAGCGGCCACCCCTTAGTGACCACCGTCGTCGCGCATGATGGTCACCTTCTAAGTTCTAATAAAGCACGCCAAAGACATCACGACACCCAGCTTAACATCATACAGTCGTATTGGCCGGATTACGTAATTATATAGACACCTAGAATCATAGTTAACAAAAAGTAGCTCACTTGTACGCCTTAGTTGACACCCAGCTTTACATCTTATACAACGTATTGGCCGGATTACGTAATTATATAGACACCTAGAATCATAGTTAACAAAAAGTAACTCACTTGTACGCCTTAGTTGTTTATTATTGTTAATCTTATAATTAAATATTATTAAATTTTACTACATGATATGGCCAGTGAGTAACATTGCTCGTCGTTGATCCACGGCATTTGGCCGACCCCTTTTTTTTATTATTTTCTTTAAAGCGAGGCCACTGGGCACTCGCTACAAATGCCGAGAAAGCCTACTTTACAAGTGGAAAAAAGGTTAATAATCATGTCATCAGACGCTAGTAGTGAAAAAAACCGTTTTTCTTGTGACCAGCTTCTTTGCCGATTCAAAGGTACCAACGATTTCCCAACCACCCTACAGTCCTGACCTGACTCCCCCCGACTTTTTTCTGTTCCCTCGCTTGGAAACTCCTTTGAAAGGTCATCGTTTCGGAACAGTTGAGAGGTTGAGAGGTTTCCTCCAAGGCTCTAAAGGATATTTTGAATGAGGCCGATCATGATGCCTTCGATATCTCGTTAGAGCCGCTGTATCAATGCGGCAAAACAAATGCACACACCTCCTAGATGCCAAATCAAACATGTAAAACCCGATATGTTTGTCTTTACTAGACACATCTAATTTTTACAATATCCGATATGCTTATCTTTACTAGAAGCATCTATCATTAAAATTTCAAAAAATATCTGCATAAATAAGAAACTTTACATTGCGCAGTCTGCGCATGCGCACATCTGTGTTTTACAATATGCGATATGCTTGTCTTTACTAGAAGAATCTTTTGTTAAAATTTCAAAAAAAATCTTCATAAATAAATAAGCGTGCGGATGTTCCGCAGTGTGTAAATGTCAAAAATGCTCCCTTGTATTGAGTTAACAGAAGCTTGAATTAATTGGTAGACGTTTTGTTCGTAACACCTCATATAAACAAATTGGAAGCACAACTTTGATTA